CACTTATTTCAACCCGTGCGAAACACCTTTCTGGCTCGTTATCCTGAACCTAAAAATGCATTTTTGGGAAGAGAACGAATTTTAGTGGATTTTCTGAAACCGCAGGTCCACTGAGATGAGACGAGAAGGGACATAAATATGAAGCTATGTGAGAACCGTTAATCAAAAACTTTCCCTTTCTTCAACTCCCCCCCCCCCCTCCCTATTAAATAACTGAATCCTCGACTCACGGAGCAAATTAGGCCCATGAAGATGAATCACCTGTCTTCGAGATATCTTGTCGAGGACGCGTAACGTTAGACCGATAATAGGCCTGCTTCGAATTTCATGAACCATTTCGAGTGCGGAAGTGGAACGTTAGACCCATCTCGAGTTCTTCGAACCACCTCGACTAGTTCCGAGGAGAGACAGCCTCTGGGAAGACGAGCTGCATGGTTATCACACCGTTGTGGAATTTTTCAAAACGTGGTCGTGAGGAAATAAAAAATCTAACCCCACGACGGTCAATTTCAACGGGGCTGGAACCAGAAATAATTGCAGTACGTGATCATGGAAGAATTTTGGAGTCACCTGGAAATGGAACTGAAAACGAAGTGGACTCGAGATTGCGATGACCATGTTTATAATTGGAACAGCGCGAATGAGGGCCATTCACCGTATTCCTGATCGATTTTCAGCCGCTAGACGAGACTGGAGACACGGAGTCTCGGGCCATCCTCCGAGACGGGCTCCACCCGAGTCGGCGTCCCGTCGGCCTGGTCAGAGCCTTCAGGTGCGCATCGGATGCCCTGGAACGTCTGGCCGCTGCCACCTCCAGCGAGGATCTCCGCGTCCTCGACCCTCTGGAGCTGGAGCTTCGCATCCTGCAGCTGGACGTGAGCGAATCCTAAGGAATCCCGACGGAACAAAAGGCTGACCGCATGCCTGTGGATTCTCCGTTCGTTATAGTGCGAATTGCCATGGGAAATACACCCCCTCCCCCCCTCTTTTTTTTCCATACAACATCCCGGGATCTCGCATTCTCTCCCGAGGACTGGCTCCTTGTTGGATGCACTTCCCGATTCCCGTCGATACCTCGAAGGATCCCGAATTTTAAATTTAACGTTCCAGGACATTGCAACATCCGTGAATGAATCGCAGGTATCCTATACCTGTTGTCGGCTCCTCGTTCTTAGAACGAGCAACTTTTTTGGAATTCTCCGATTTTCCGACTAAGAACTCATGAACCTCGATTTCTTCTAATGCCCTCAATAACTTCCTACCGTTTCTAGGGAATGCTAATTCGTCTTACTACATTTCTTTTGGCACGCCTTCGCTAGGACTAAAGGTTCTGCACTTGAAACCCAGAGGATATTTTTATTCGTTCACGCCAGAAATGCCTGTTTCATAATATTTTCCGTAAAAATAAAAAATACATATGCGCAACGACGGCTTCTCTCGCATGGGGTGTAAATGGTCCTTCTGACTATTTAATCGAAGTAAATTAGTTCTTAATAATACAGAACTTTCAGCAGTGACATCCAGCGGAAGCAACCGTAGACGCTTAGTTTATTACCCTGATCGTAGAGGACTCTGACCCACGAAATTCCTACGATTATGACACTCCCTGAGCCAAGACCAGAGATTGCCCATGAACCCGGCTCCTATGACCATGGACCCGGCACCTATTGCGAAGTACATATTGGGAACTAGAAATACCGGAATGGAGTTTGATTTAAGGGTTTTGAAGGCTCTTCTCGACTGATGAGTGCGTTGATTTTGTGGGCAGGAACTGAAGGGCCTGTTGATGTCCAACATGGGCACGATCAAGAGCGGGCTCGGGGCGGAAACGTATCTGGTGAAGAGTCTGGAGGAAGACCTCCTTTTCGTCGAGGACTCCCGGGAACGGCTGGGGATGGTCCTGCGGCTCCGGAAGGATGCCGAGGACGCGCTCGACGGGTTTCGCCGCTGGGTCCGGGAGAGGGAACGGGAGCGAGACGACATCCCCTGCCTCAGGCCCTCCGTCGCCCGGCTGCCTCTAACCCTGGACAAACTTCGGGTCAGGCGCGAAATTTCTCGATCGATGGATGTCAAAGGAGTGCGGGAATATGGTACTAGGACAAGGTCCGGAATCTGGGGCAGTAGAAATCGGGCATCAGTTTTCAGAGGGTGGATGATTTTTTTTTAGTCCTGCATAGTAAGAAAAAGCGACAGGAACTTCACAAATCGGGCAAAAAAGGGTCAAAATGTAAGTGTTTCACAGAAATCTAAAAATATATATTAAAATTGAAAAGAAACACTGTAGGGTATTTTTTCGTCGGCAACGCTGAGTCTCTCCTGTAGGTATGCTACAAGGTCAGAAAAAGACGAACACTACTTTCCTGTTTCGCTAAAATATTATTGCTCCCAGTCGAAACTAACGAATCGATGGCGCTCTGTAACCCGTGTTCAAGTTGAGGGTTTCAGATTCTAACCATCGTTTCTTGTGCATTAGGTCACGATGAGCAGGACTGTACATTCTTAAAAACGGTGGACACCACGCCACAAGAGCGCGTACCTCACGGAGCTATCTTGCACGTCGTGCGATTTATTGGTAAAGATCGCATTAGCCAACACTACCGGTTTTTTTTTTCTCCGCCAAAGAAAGCTCGTGTTTTCATTCTCCATTTTAATATTCGCTCGTGATCATTATGGTATGCCATGTTCGCTCGATAAGCCGTGAAATGCATCCCCACCATGCACCGTTGGATTCATAACATTTAATGCGACCGAGTATGCGACTATTCTCTGTCCGCCCCCAATCGTCAAGAACGAAAATAATAATCCCAGTCGGAACGGAAGCAACTACTCGATTGCTCAACTCAACTACTCAACTGTATCTCACGCCATGTCTGAGAGCTGACGCGATTCATCTCTCATTGTGACCTCAAAGGATCCATTACTTGGCTACCGGCATTTCGTATTTAAAAAAGGACAATCTCATGTCATGATCTCGATCTAGCCCAGATTAATTAGTGCATTCTTCAGGGTAGCCATCAGAGATGATAAGGATTATAAGGGTAGCCATCAGGGATTATAAGGATTATAAGGGTAGCCATCAGAGATGATAAGGATTATAAGGGTAGCCATCAGAGATGATAAGGATTATAAGGGTAGCCATCAGAGATGATAAGGATTATAAGGGTAGCCATCAGAGATTATAAGAAAACTGGTTCGGCGTAGAACATTTGCCGTAAATATTTGCCAATGACCCTTCAAATAATTCTAAATCTACTTGTGTATCAGGCCACCGGCAGTCCTCTGAAACCAATTTCTCGTCTCGATCAATTCCCTGCAGGAACTCCAGAGAAAGTTGAATTGCGAGGAGCCGCCGGTCGGGATTTGTGGAGAGAAACTGGAGCGGGTCCGAGAACGGACGAGTCCGGAGTCGGCGGCCAACCTCTTCGCCGAGTTCGCCTTCTACGAGAGCATCCAGAGGAGCCTGGCGGGAGCGGTGGAGGTCTGGCTCGCTCGCCTGAGCGGAGTGCAGGAAAGGCTCTCGGCCTTCGACGACATGTGCCAGGAGATGCATGCCTCCGTTGCAGAGTGCGAGAGAGTGCTCGACTCCGGGGAAGCGTCGAGCTATGCACTGTTTCGGGTGAAGGTCTGCTCGCTTTCGAGTATAAATAGTACCCGCGGTTGTTCCGTTTGATGCCATTCCGTTACCCTTCGAGAGGGTATTCCAATGTCCAAAAAACTTTTTGTTGAATTTCAGTCCGCCTTCTTCTTGATCGAATTGAAGCGCTATCAGAACTTCTCTCGAGGGTATCCCAGGAGGCAGCTATTTTAAAAGGACGCTACTGTCCCTGTAGATGGTTTGTATGGACTTAAATGGAAGAAAATGTTTAACAATCGACGATGCAGGGAATCGTGATTCACCTTCTCCAGGAATGGAAGAACCGATTGGAAGGGTGGCCCCTGAAGGAGGCGAAGGAGGAAATGCACGGGATCGCGGAATGGGTCTGCTTCCGGGACGGGCGATCCCTCCAGCAGCGGCTGTCGGGACTCCTGGCGCGGAGGAACCTGGTCCTGGATCGACTGCAGGCGTCGCTGTCCTCGGGGTTCAGGTCGCCGGAGACGAAGAGAAATGAGATTTTCGTCAGTCAGCGGTATGGAAGTTTTTCCTTCCAAAAAATATGTGAAATGAGTTCAGGAATCATATTATTAAGCTCTTTCAAATTCAGGTTCAAGACGAAACGCTATTGGCCCTTATGCATTACTATTAATATTCTCTATCTAGCGAGCTATGTATCTGTGCATTTCTGCGGGCGTTTAGTCATACTAGGTATTTCGCCTCATACGTGGGTCACTCTGAAAGTTTTTAGAATCAGGCTAGGAGATTGCACGATCTTTTGCTTTAGGCTATGATGCTATTGTACAACTCTTTATTGCTCTACATACCAAATGTCATTCTACTCCGAGTCGTATTAACAAAGTTATAGCTTCTTTGACTTTCCTTAGTGGTAGTATTTTACCACGTTGCAATGGAGCTCACTCGAGAGCACTGGCGGGCTATGATTTTCTATGATTTCAAAAAAGGCTTCAGCCAAGCAGATTGCTACCAGTCCTTGAGAGGAGCTTTTGGAGACACTGCACCTTCAAG